ACTTTAGTGGGATTTACTCCATTTCTTAATTAGTTAGGTGTCTCCGTTACCTCTCAACTGGTCCTCTATAATGACAACGTTGGTGTAAGTTACCTATATGTAAACCTAGTCTTTCACTCCCATATGAAACATCTTGCTCTGGATTATCATTTTATTCAGAAACTGGTACAAAACGGCAGTCTTCGAGTTGCTCAAGTCTCCTCTGCAGACCAGTTGGCTGATGCGCTAACCAAGCCTCTCTCTCTCTTTCGGATTCAAGACATGTGTCTCAAGATTGATGTCTCAACTGGAACATCATCTTGAGGGAGGCCTATCAAAATATATGTCTTGCATTTTATCTTAAATAGGAATCAATGAGAAAATCATATTATACACCAAATATATGTCTTGCATCTTACCTTAAATATTGTATGTACAAAATAGTTGGTGTATAATATGATTTTTTCATTGATTCCTATAAATAAGGATAACCATTTACTCAGAATAATTCCTCTTTCCTATTAACATGCTTTTTTTATTTAGAAAATGTATGTTGTATATATTTATGCTTCTGCATCCCTTCAACAACGTGAATAATATATTCTTCATTAAGTCTTGTTATTTAGCTCGTAGGATTTATGTTTAAAGATTATCACGGTCTTATAATAATATGACATTTTAAAAATAGATGATTGTAGGTTTTCTCTTGCCATTTACAGAAGAAGAGTTTCTAATAAGATCTTTGGTAATACTTGGGATATCCAGCTTTTCAAGGATCTACTACCTATATAAACTATATGTGGTCTCATTCATAGTCCATACAGTAAAGCCAGAGCCTTGTTAGATACCTAATGATGGAAGGTTTATATTTGAACTAGATTGAATGCTGAATTTATATTATGGGTTAATTAAGACTTTCCAGCAAATTCAACTTTAATTACTTTCCCAATTGTAGGATAAACATTTTCTTTCTTAAACAAGTCTATAGAAAGGCCAAAGATTTTAACCCATAATATATAAAATCAAATTCTTCAATAGACGGATTAGGCTGATAGACAGTGTACGATACAAAGCCTCTTTACTAAATATGTCATTTAGGAGATAAAAAAAAATTAACCTTTGAAATTTACTGTTAGATGAAATATGCGATTATTTAATTTTTAAATATATTTTACCCCCAAATTATAAATTCGTACGTGGAGAAAGCACAGGCGACCAAATGGAGAGGATAGCCTGGCGAAAATAATCGGTGGGAATTATTAGCAGTATATAATAAATGTAGTTTTTGGTAGTCAAAGTTGACTTTTTACGTTTGCGACAAATTATACTACGTTATTAAAATATATGAGATCCAGAAGATGTCAAACCAATAATTTAAAATACAAATTTTTAAAGAAGAAAAATAAAAATAATAAAAATCACGTGGGCCCATACGGTGAACCAAATTATACCACTTTTTGTAATGAGTAGAAATTGAGTGATTAGATCTCCATACAATGTCTTAATTAATCTGCGTACATAATTTATAAAGTGCATATATAAAACTCTTGTAAAAATAATTAATCGAATATTTAGAAAAAGAAAAAGGTTAAGTAAAACCAGGCACATGGAAGCAGCTCTTGAAAGTTGAAACAACAGGTGGTACGATTTCCCACGAATTGAAAATTAGTTATACACACACACACATATATATATATATATATATGTATATATATGTACATTTCTCCACTTTCTCTTCAAATAATTCAACTTGGGTTTCTAGAGAAGATGATAAAGAAAGTGGTTCAGTATGTAAAGATTGGATTTTTCTCCATTATGGAAGCTTGTTCATCCTCCAGACACGAAACCGGTCTCCTCTTCCTCTTCTCTTCTCTTCTCTTCTCTTCTCTTCTACTTACTGATTTTCTTTTCCATTTTTTTGTTTTTTCTTTCAATCTTATCTTAATTTTTTTTTTTCTTTTTTCTAAATTAAATTAATTACATGCAGAAGGAACCAAGCTAGAAGAGTCATCTGTAGAGGTACGTGTTTTATATATATATATATATAATTATAATAAATGAATTAGCAGATTGTGATTGATAAAGTTACAAGATTGCTAATCTCTTGCTCATTACTCTTTGTCGGTGTCTTATCAAACTTGCATATATAATATATTAAGAAAAGTAAATCTCAGATTAAAATGTATGAAAATCTATATTAGTAAATATAATTATTTGATAACTCTCTAATAGCATATAATTTTATATCAAAATTTAAATTTTATATGGTATTAGAGTTAATTTTGATTTGTCTAATATTTTATTAATGATTTGTGTGTAGGAAGAAGTAGAAGATAGAGGAATCCAGATACTGGCCGCCGAGGGTCAAGTCGAGGGTCCATCACGACCCAAGCCGCCTCATGGTCCACCTCCTCAGACCGCCTGATGCAGCCGAATTACTTCTAAACTTTACTTTATTTCATTTTTGTAATTAATTTCTTGCTTTTTTCAATTAATAATTTGAATTTTGGACTTGAGTGCTTCGTAATAATATATATATATATATATATTTTAGATTTAATGCTTTGTTGTAATAAACTAAAGTATGAATGATGAGAATAAGGTGAATTTTATTTACTTATCAACTAATAATTTTTAATTTAATGATTATTTTATGTTTTTTTTTTTTCTATATTACAGAGTTAATATATGATAAATGTATAGATTCTTAATATATTGTGATGTAATTTAATAAAAAATTAAGTGTATTTTATCTAATTATTTATTTTTTTTACCCTTCAATTTCTTTTAACCTTCTAGTCGACTTTATTTTTTTTTTATAAAAAAAGTAAGATAAATTATTTTATGAGTAAATTTGCATAGGTAATATGTGGCCTAATAAGCATAATAGGAGAGCGCCTATTAAAGAGACTATGAGCTAGATAATTTTGGCTTAGCTTTATACATAACCATTTAAGGTCAACATGGTTCATAAAGTAACTAAAGCAGTAAAGGACAAATGAGAGCTCACTGCTGGATTAAAAGCCAGAAGATGAGTGAAGTCCATCATATATATTAGTTTTTTAAAAAAACTTTAGAAATTTCATATGGAACAAAATATCCCCAAAAACTCTTGAAATTTGAAACGATTCAGAAGCATACGAAGTGAAGAGAGAAGCATAGAGGATTTAGCCTCTTAGAGTACAATATAGAGGAAGTATCGATCTCGATCTATTGGAAAAACACATATAATGTTTGAAAGCTTATATCTTTCTTAGCCTCTTAGAGTACAATATAGAGGATGCATGTGTTGATTTCATCAATAATAGAGATAATTCATCAAAATAGTAACATAACAAAGATTTCTTGCAAATTTGTCATCAAACTTTTATTTATTTTGTTGATTCAATAGAAAAAAGATAACTTACTTTATAACTATAAATGACAGTAGATTCATTAACTTGATGTCCCATGGAGAGACATATTACATGAGTCTTCCTAATGAACGTTTTAAGAGCATATGTTGTAATATATCTATTTCCTATAGCCCACATAACATGTATTGTAGAAATACAAAATGAAATGTTTGTACAATGCACTCTAACAACTTCTTATGAAGGATATGTCGCAATGAGAATTTATGTTTAGGTGTAGTGTGAGAGAAGATAAGGATTTCCAATATTAAAAAATACTAATTTTGATAGTTAAAATAAGATTGCCTAAAGTAATATGTAATACCTGGACTCGAAAATTTGCTTGAAATCAATTTTGATAATTTAAAAATAAACAAAAATATTATTTATAAATTAATTTAATTTAATTTTGTTAAATTATTGAAAAAATATAGGTTAGGGATGTAATCGAAAATAATTTTGAAAAAAATGGATAAAAATTTGAGTTCGAATGATGTTTCTGAAAGAAAAAATAGAAACATAGGGTCAAAGTGAAAAAAAAAAAATCGACCACGTAAGATGGCCCAGTCAACAACCCCGACGAATCGGAGCACGTCATGTGATAAGATACATTGACGTCGGTGCCACGCAGGAGGCCAATCGGGCGATCTGCGTGCCCAGTAATCGAACGATCCAGGATTGATCCCCGCGCGTGAACGACTCGGATTTATTCCCTAGTTAGGCACGATCAGACGGACGAGATCAATCGTGATTAACGGTTCAAATTCGTTTTCTCCTTAAACATAATCGGACGGATGAGATGAATTGCGATGAACAGCCCAAATCGACGAGGGATGGGTATAAATACTTTACATCGCACAGGAATTCAAACCCTAGCCACCAGCCACTGCCGAAGAAGAAGAATCAGGCATTGGAGAAGGAGGCCGACTGCCAACCGCCAACCGTCGCTGCACCGGAGCCACCGCTGGCCGCCAAAAAAGGTAAACAATTCTCCCTACCCACTCAAAATTCAATTTCAAGCATTCCTATTGCTAAATTGAAGTAAGAGGGATGGCATGTGAGCCGAAAAATTATGAAAAAAGCTCAACGAAGCCGCTAGGGTCAAAACTCAAAAATTCCTCCAATGAGTCCCTTCCCGCTTCCAATTTCACACGATTTTTCAATCATTGTGTTCACTATCCTTTTCTGTGCATGTTAACTGAAGAAAGAATCTCAGCCACAAAGGAGGACCGGTGGAGCCGCCGTACTTGGAGGTCTTTTCCACTGGTAGGTTCGATTTTTGCGATTTTTCGCCCAATCGAGACCCCCTAACGTGTTTTTCTACAAGGATACGTGCAAAACTGAGCAAAACATACCAAAATCGGCCAAAACTGATTAGGCTGAGGCAATCACCGCCATGGGCAGCGGAGCCGACGTCAAACCACAGCGGCACCGCCGCTAATTTAGGATTTTTGGGATATTTTTAGGATGTGACAAGTGTTTTAAATTTTTACAATAAAAAATTTAGTAAACTTGGTACACGTTAGGAGGTATAGTAGACAACGCAACGTCTCGAAATACCAATCCGAGTAAGGATTCCTCACTCTATTCTCAGTTACGGTAAATTGAGGCTCAACAATGTATAATTTCATATTTTTATAAAAAATTAGATAACTCTAAAAATAATTATAAGTCACTAGTAGAGGTAGAATCGGTTAATTCATGATTGTTCTAATTTTCTGTTTATTTTTCTGTACTGCCCTATTTGTTTGTTATTATATGGTGCATATTCTTAAATTATATTTTCTATAGCCTTATCAATTTATCTGGTTTATTCGGTTACATACCGTCAACATAGATATAGTTTAATTTATCTGTAAATATAATATGAGATATTGGTGTGCGCGGTTGGTTATTTTGTTGATGGAAATTTTTATGTGAAAGATTTATTGGGTACCCAGGAAAAGGGTGGACGAGCTCGGTACAGAGGGAACCCTACTGTGAACGTTACCTCAGTAAAAAAAGACTGAAAAGTCCCTTATCGGGAAGGTTTGAGAGATAAGATTTAAGCTCATACCGGACGGGGTATCGAGGCGATGGAATGTTTAGCGTCCATTACCGGATAGGGTACGGGGACAACTGATTAATTGTTTAAATTAGATATTAGGTTCACGAGTAGGGGGACATCCCTATGGATCCCTAGGGGTACCAATAAGTAAGTAAGAAAGAAAAGTTATCGTCTCTTGTTCTCTTATGTGTGAAAATAAAAAGTAGTATGAATATGAGTCTTTATATGTTGTTTTTGAAAAATTCGTTACGGTAAGTACGGAATAAACAATTTTCTTTATATTGACTGAATTTACTCAAATTAACGGTTACGAAATAAACAGTTTTCTTTATGTTGACTGAATTTACTCAAATTAAGGGCTCTATTAGTTGTTTTATGATTTTTATCAATCTTCAATTTTTCGTATATGTGATTACGGATCCCGATCCCGATTCAGATCCTGATCATTAGCCATTTCAGATCAAAAAAATCGAGATCCAGATTTCGATCAATAAAAGGGTTGTGAGTAGTTCACCACCCGGACTCCCTTCAAGTGTTAGTGAAGGTTGTCCTAAGAGGTTATTTATTCGCTCTTCTTTTTATTTTCTTAATTATCGTTTGTCTTTAGTAGGGACATTCCCATATTTCTATTGGGCATTCTAAATTATTATATAAGAAATGTAAACCCTAACTTTATTAATTGCTTCCATATTTAAATTATAAATTCATTTCTTTTAAGGTTCTAGATCTCTACAGTTAGTATCAGAGCTGCGTTCTTCGAAATCATTACTTACACAAAGACTTAAAAATACCAAAAAACAAACTATTGCTCAATCATTCCTTGTGAAATGCAGATACAAGAATATGAGGAGAGGAAGACCCTCACTAAATTGAGCAACTCGGGATGGTTCACTTCAAGAAGATGTTGACTAACTCTTAGAGATGCTGGAGAGATTCATCTCTGCCTAGCAAGCACGGGAGGAAAGGAGAGAGCTGTCTGACCCTCCCCTACTGCCATAGTTTGAACCACCCTTACAGTGGGAAGATCCGGAGCCACCCCAGTACAACCCTGCTCCTCCACTGTATCATCCAGCACCACGACAGTACAATCTGATGCTTTATCGCATCATCGGGTACCACCATAATATAATTCAGTGCCTCCACTATATCATCCGACACCACTATAGGGCTACCCGGTCCATCCCTAGAACAATCCAGTCCCTTTTTCATAGGACCCAATTCCACCAATGATGGACCCAAACTACATTGAAAGGGACAAAAGAGTAAACTCATCTACCATTTCAGGGGCATCATCTTTTAAAGAGGCCGAGTATTGGTTAGTTAAGATAGAGAAGACCTTCGCGACTCTTAGAGTGATTCCCAAAGAGAAAGTTGTACTTGTCACCTACATGCTTGTGGGAGAGGCAAGTTGTTGGTAGCAGCTCAAGCAGGCCACCTGCCCGTTCTATTCACTTGGGAATAGTTCCTAATGACTTTTAATGCAGAATACCTCCTAAAACACCCATGACATTTGAAAGAAATGGAGTTTGCACACCTAGTTCAGGGTAATATAACTGTGTCGGAGCATGCCCAAAGGTTCCTAGAGTTTGGCTGGTATTCCCCTGAGAGCATGATAGATGAAGGCAGAAAGGTAAGGAAGTTTGAGTAAGGCCTCCATTATGAGATCAGACAGCAGCTGTACGTATTTAAGCTCAGTATCTACTCAACCGTTCTAGCTAAGGCACAGTTAGTAGAGATGAACCTTCATATCTTTTCTCCAGTAGTGGAAAATCCTAAACCTCCGATTTCACACTGCAGACCAGTACGTACTGCACCGGTCCAGAAAAATAAGAAACTAGACCACTGACTCAGGCTCCTCCTCAACCTCCGATAACAAGATGTAGTAGGACTTGCCAGAACTGTATGAAGGATCATGGAGACCGACCCTACTATTGCCTCAACCATACCTGATGCATATGTAGGCGTGCCCAACACTATGCGAGAGAGTTCATGCGAAATCAGAACTCGGCCAGACCTTCTATCTAGGGCAGAGCTTATAATCTCACTCAGTAGGATACTGAAGCTAACCCGAATGT